GGTTAGAGATGAGTGGACTCTTGCCCTGCTGAACCTCACGCTTGCCTGATCTGCTCTTCACAGGAATCACACGTCTCGTCCTCGTCTTCATCCTCCTGCTGCTTTTCTCTCTCATGCTTCAGCGACCCCGAGGCCCCAGAGGGCCAAAGTCAATCAGTGCATCACGTCTAACTAAAACACTGATTTCACTACAGATTTTTTTTTGGTGCGCTTGTGTTGTTTTAGACAGTTTTTTGTAATTTTTTTGTATATTCAGAGCTAATTTATATATATATATATATATATATATATATATATATATATATATATATATATATATATATATATATATACATATATATACATATATATATATACATATACATATATATATACACACACATTTATATATATATATATATATACACACACACACACACACACATATATATATATATATATACACACACACATATATACACACACACACATATATATATACATATATATATATATATATATATATATATATATATATATATATATATATATATATATATATATATATATACTTATGCTATACTATATATTTATGTATTTTAATATAGTTACAGTCAAAATGATTAGCCCTCCTGTGTGTTTTTTTCTTTCAACTATTTCCCATTTATTTTTAACGTTTTCTTTATTGTATTTTTTACATCAGTAAAAATGATAACTTTTATCTATGTATATCTTTTTTTTCATTTAAACAAGAAGTTATAACATCATTCATTCATTTTCTTTTCAGCTTAGTCCCTTTATTAATCTGGGGGTCGCCACAGCGGAATGAACCGCCAACTTATCCAGCATATGTTTTTACGCAGCGGATGCCCTTCCAGCTGCAACCCATCTCTAGGAAACATCCATACATACTCATTCACTACAGACAATTTAGCCTACCCAATAAACGAATGCATGCAAACTCCACACAGAAACGCCAACTGACCCAGCCAAGGCTCGAACCAGCAACCTTCTGGCTGTGAGGCAACAGCATTATCTACTGCACCACTGTGTCACCCTATTATATTTAAGTTAACAGAGTATTTTACTCCTATTAGTTGAAATAGACTGTTAGTAGACTGAAGTAGACAAATTTAGCAGTAATAACCCCAGTCAAACATACAGTAATAAATGTAATACTGGAAATGTTCTTTAAATTTAGAATGACATGTTTTCAATGTGTATATTTTTTAAAAATGCCATTTATTGCTGCGATTCAAAGCGGAGCATCGTTCTTCCAATATGTTGGGTTCCTAACTTATTAGTTTTTACAAAATTAAGTGAATTGAACAGAAAATAATTAAGCTGTCCCAATTGTGTTATTCAAGCTCATTTTATTTAAGTTTTAATCTTTGTAGCTCCTTTGTTGACCCAGTTGTTTTTATGGCTGTTATTATTTTTTCTACAATAGTTTATTGATTATTTATTAATATTAATATTATTACTACTACTACTGATGTTAGTATTATTTGTTTACAAACTCTACTGTATAGATATAAACTGTATAGATATACAAATATTAATTATTTGCATACAAACCTTTTCTTTTTTACATGTTTTAGTGGTCTGGGGATTAGAGCTGAGCAACACATGTTTGTCCTGATGTTTTTCTCTGTTTTTTTATTTTTTTATTTTATTTTTTCCTTCGGCTTAGTCTCTATTTTTGAGGTTGCCACAGCGGAATGAACCACCAACTAATCCAGCATATGTTAGACAAACATTAGACAAACAGTACACTGGATGACAGTATTTGACAGAAAACTATTTGAGAATCCAGTCATGACTATGTAAACCCAAAATGCTTAGCAACTGACAAATATGCTAACTAAATAACTGTGTTTGTGTGATTTTATTATAACAAAGAGAGTTTTCTAGTCACTGGGGAATAATTTCTCTTTTAACTAAAATAATTCCAATGCTGTCATTTTTTAAATATACCATACAGACAAATGCTAAAACATTGCAATAATCATCATTCAATATAAATGTAGGTCTTTATGTAAAAATGTAATATAAAAAAAACAGGTGATCTGAATTATATTTTAAATGACTCAAACAAACTGTCTTGCAGAAAAACTATGATCTTTTAAGGGACAGTTCACTCATAAGTCACAATTGAGAACACTGTTTATTTACTGTTTTTTTCTTCTGTTGAACACAAAAGAAGATATTTTGAAGAATGACTTCAATAGCAGGAAACCAGCAACAAGCATTATACAAAATATCATCTTTTGTGTTCAACTGAAGAAAAAAAAACTCTTAAAGGTTTAAAATCACACGAGGGAGAGTAAGTGGTGAGGTCATTTTCATTTTTGCAAGAACTCTCCCTTTAAATAGTCTATTAATCTGTCATTAAATGATTCATTCATTCATTTTCTTGTCGGCTTAGTCCCTTTATTAATCCGGGGTCGCCACAGCGGAATGAACCGCCAACTTATCCAGCAAGTTTTTACGCAGCAGATGCCCTTCCAGCCACAACCCATCTCTGGGAAGCATCCACACACACATTCACACACACACTCATACACTACAAACAATTTAGCCTACCCAAGTCACCTGTACCACATGTCTTTGAACTATAGGGGAAACCGGAGCACCCGGAGGAAACCCACGCGAAGACAGGGAGAACATGCAAACTCCACACAGAAACAGCAACTGAGCCGAGGTTCGAACCAGCGACCTTCATGCTGTGAGGCGACAGCACTACGTACTGCGTCACTGCCTCGGCCTTAAATGATTCTTGTCCTAAATAAGCCTGACAAGACAATCTGGTACAAACTAATGTTACACTAATGAGACTATAGTGAATAATTTATGGTAAAACGCATGATTATATTTACAATCTTCAAAAGTGCCAATCTGTATAAAGTGTATAAATGTTTACACTGTGTTAAGTGTATAAATATAGAGATGTAGCGCTAACCTAATGATTAAGCTAATGACTGTTAATACAAGTTACTGATTCAGCCTCGTGAACCAATGACCTACAAATGAAAGTTACTGTAAGGAACTTCCTAATTATATGAGTCTAATTGAAAACCATAAGACAAGACTGCCTCGGGGATGGTAATTACTGACTGTGAATTACTCTGGGAGTAAATAGTGAAGGCGTGATTTACTTTTAGAAGGTTTGAAAAAGCGATTCCAGCTGCTACGCTACAAAAATGATCACAAGTAGAAAGATGAGATATTAGGAATGTACTTCTGTTTCTCTATGTTCTTATGTGAATAACTAAAATATTAGTTTACAGCAATATAGTTCATACAATTATTTTTATTTTGTTCTTTTTCCTTTTACTGCATCCCCAAAAAAAACTTTTTAATAATCAAGGCAGCCAGGTTGACGGTCACCATTAAAATCTGTTGTTTTAGATTCTGAACAATTTTTAGAGCTTTTTAAAGTACAACATAAAATGCTTGTATAAATGTATGTTCGTTGCCAAAAGTGAATTTAATAACTTTTTTAATACCAAAATTTTAATTATGTATAATATATTTGAAATATTCATTCATTCATTTTCTTTTCAGCTTAGTCCCTTTATTAATACGGGGTCGCCACAGCGGAATGAACCGCCAACTTATGCAACACGTTTTACGCAGCGGATGCCCTTCCAGCTGCAAGCCATCTCTGGGAAACATCCATACACACTCATACACACTCATACACTACGGACAATTTAGCCTACCCAATTCACCTGTACTGCATGTCTTTGGACTGTGGGGGAAACCGGAGGAAATCCACGCGAACACAGGGAGAACATGCAAACTCCAAAAAGAAACGCCAACTGACCCAGCCGAGGTTTGAACTAGCGACTTTCTTGCTATGAGGCGACAGCACTACCTACTGCGCCACCGCGTCGCCGATAATTGAAATATGTATAATACATTTGTATGTAAATTTTTAATTATGTAGTCTCTCCCCATTTTTGTCTTATTTTATTTTTTCATTTAACTCTTGTTAAAGAATATGAAGCACGTTTGTAGTAAAATGAAACTATACATGCTGGGTCGGGCGACGCAGTGGCGCAGCGGGTAGCACGTTCGCCTCACAGCAAGAAGGTCGCTGGTTCGAGCCTCGGCTCAGTTGGCATTTCTGTGTGGAGTTTGCATGTTCTCCCTGCGTTTGCGCGGATTTCGGGTGCTCCGGTTTCCCCCGCAGTCCAAAGACATGCGGTACAGGTGAATTGGGTAGGCTAAATTGTCCGTAGTGTGTGTGTGTGAATGAGTGTATGTGAATGTTTCCCAGAGATGGGTTGCAGCTGGAAGGGCATCCGCTGCGTAAAAACTTGCTGGATAAGTTGGCAGTTCATTCCGCTGTGGCGACCAGACAAGAAAATGAATGAATGAATGAACATGCTGGGTCTTGTTAATAAAGCAAACAAATAAAATGAATTGAAGTACTAAAACAAAATCACCTCAGGAATCCAGGTTTTAGCATCTTACTTTGAAAAACGCTGGGAGAAAATAATGTGTTTTATTCCACTGCGCTGACCGCAATCGCTAAATTTACTGTTTGATTCGACAGATTACACAAGCTGGATTCACTGGTCAGACACAGAGCACATGGAGGACATCTGCTGGTTACAGGGGGGTAATGCAAAAAAAGCATCAACTAAAAATAATCAGAAGGTTATAGTTTACTACTTTGGACACAAATATAGTTATAGTTAAATTGAAGTTCATAGTTATCATCCTTGATGTGAACGGCCCTTCAGAGTAATGAAAATGCAAACAAAAAAACACTAAAATTAAGCATTTTTTATTCTGTGCACACATCCAAATTAAAGTTCATATTTCATTTCCTTAAATTAAAAATGTAAAATTAAAGAAACAAAAAAAAATGAAACAGAGTATAATTAAAAAAAAAACATTTTAATGTTTATGTTTATTTAAGTTTTATTTGAGTCAAATGACTCATAAGAAATTTGTGTTGAGATATAACTCAAAATGCAATACACATATTTAATAATATACATTTTGAATAAAATCTAAAAAAAGGCAGTGGTGCCATCTTTATTAATGCACTCTTTGATTTTCATGATTTGCCGAGCACAAGAGAGGACTCTTTACTCTCCGCTTCCTTCATCCCCTCAAAGTTCCTCACCACATCCTGAAGGAAACTCAGCACAGACTCCAGATCCTCGTTGCTGTCCATTACAGGCTCTCCCAGCAGCCCCTTCAGTCTGGTCAGTGTGTCTGTGAGCAGCGTCCAGCCATCTTCAGGTGTGCTGTGATCCAGAGCCTCTTCTCCATCTGCTCCAGCAGACGGAACTAAACCCTCGTCCCTGAGGTGGCTGATCAGGAGAGCCTGCAGCGCCGGCCTGGACTGCCCACTTACTGAAGACCTGATGGACAGTGAATTCACTTATGAAAATCATTATTCATATTTTATTTTTAAAAAATTATAATAATAAAAATAAAAAAACAGCCTTTGTCCACTTTAGGAACACTGTCAAAATATTATTACACTGTACAACATGCTGGACTCATGCTTGTCCCAACACAAATGGATTATGTTAACTTAATAGTATTTTTCTAATTAGAGTGCATTGAACATAAAACTATAAAGTTGTCACTAAAAAAACTTATAGATTTTTTGTTGTTTCACCTCATTTTAAATAAGTAGTTTTAACAAGCAGCGTGAGTGTTTTTTTTTTTTTTGAGTGTAGACAATAGACATTGGTTTGAGTAAAATGCTAACATTTGTCTAGGATTCGGATTTATACCTTCCAATCCATCTCAGCAAGAATCAACATGTATCCTTTTCTCATCATCTTGTTTCTCATTATTTGTATTAAATATTTTAGACTTGATGGCATTTAAAACGTGACGTTAGCTAGGCCACTAACCACAATATTCCAGAAAGCACCCTCACTCTAGCATAGGAAAAATAAGCAGAACGGCCTAGAAACTCATTGAAGCTGGTTTCTGCCGATGAAACTGCAAACTATCTTTAGTAAACTAGATTTGTTTATTTAAATCTCTGACTCCGGCACTCTTCATCTACCAGACTGGCCATTCTTTGGGTCAAACTGATGACATTGCTTTAGAATTTCTTGATTTTGGATATTTAGAGCTTTTCTTCAGAAAATGACATTCATTACAAACGCTGGAAAAAAAAGACAAAATAAAAAATGTTTTCATCTGTTGTGATTGACTTTTAAGCTGATGCTGATTTCTTACCTCTCATGAATTTAGAAACATTGGTATTTCATCATCTAAAAAGTTATAGAAACATTATTTCATGCAAAAAAAAAATACAGACTTTAAATAACAACATTTTTTTAATTTTGCATTTGGAACAAAAGTTATCAGTAGTTCACAGAATAATATATATATATATATATATATATATATATATATATATATATATATATTATTTTTTTTTTTTTTTATTTATATAATAATTTTACATACTGTTGAAGACAAAATTATTAGCAACACCGTGAAACAGCAATTTGGTTTTCAAATGTTTTCCAAGTGTTGTTTGTAGTTAATAGTTTTGATGATAATTTTCTATTAACTAATTTCTTTTGTCTTCGCCATGACAGTATCTAATATTTTTCTAGATATTTTTTCAAGACACTATTCAATCCAGTATCTAACGAATTAAATACTGAGCAAGTTAAGCTAATTGGACAAGGGAAATATTTGATCAACATTATAATCCTTTTTATATATATATTATCTTCAGAATATGGCAATTTTTATAGCAAAATCCTAGCAAGAAGGCGAAGCAGTGGCACAGTAGATAGTGCTGTTGCCTCACAGCAAGGTCGCTAGTTCGATCCTCGGCTCGGTTGGCGTTTCTGTGCAGAGTTTGCATTTTCTCCCTGCATGCGTGTGGGTTTCCTCCGGGTGCTCCGGTTTCCCCCACAGTCCATAGACATGCGGTACAGGTGAATTGGGTAGGCTAAATTGTTCGTAGTGTATGAGTGTGTGTGAATGTGTGTTTGTGGATGTTTCCCAGAGATGGGTTGCGGCTGGAAGGGCATCCGCTGTGTAAAAACTTGCTGGTTAAGTTGGCCGTTCATTCCGCTGTGGCGACCCCGGATTAATAAAGGGACTAAGCCGACAAGAAAATGAATGAATGAATCCTAGCAAGATTTATTTTGTATGTTTTTATTTCAGGCAAACTAAAAGAAACAAGAATTTCTCTGGAAGAAATATATAATAAATGTCCTTGCTCTGAAAAAAAAAACCTTTGGAAATATTAAAACAATAAATATAAATTCCACAGGAGTGCTTCCAATTTTGCCTTCAACTGTACATATATAAAGAATATGAAGAGCTTGTGCATTTTAAAGCCACAAAAGCAAAAAAAGAGAAGAGCCTACATTATTATCAATTCACATACAAATATATTATACAAATATCAAATGTATTGTACATAATTTAAATCCTGTTCTTAACAAAGGTTATTTAATGCACTTTTAGTACAGAAAATACATCTACACAAACATTATATGTTGTACTTCAATCTGCTAGTTTTCATCATTCCACCATCTTTGAAAATTTAACATTAAGCCGAGCTTCTCCATAAGGTGTACCTGTGGCTTTAAATTGCACAAGCTCTTATTTTTCTTCCAGAGAAACTCTTGTTTCTTTTAGTTTGCCTGAAATAAAAACACACAAAATACATCTTGCAAAATAAATATCACTTTCACAGGAGTGCTTCCAATTTTGCCTTCAACTGTACACATATAGAATAGATTTATTTATATTTCAATCTAAAATATTTTTAAAGTATATACACGTGTGTTTGTGCATTTATATATACACATAATAAATATACACAATACACACACATATCATCACGTTAGAATTATAAGGTTCTATCTGACATTTTTTTCAAAATTGAGTTATTGACATTCGTGTTAAATGACAACTTATTTACAACATTGGATGTTTTTTTTGTAAGTTGTTTACATCGAGTTTTTATAAAAAAAAAACAAAAACAAATGTTACACACATTCTGTTTGCTATGGAATGCAAAAACGTTGAAGCTCAATATCTCAAAATCATTCAGAACACAGATAGAACCTTATAACTCCAAGGTGACGATGTATAATATGTAAAAACAAGCTTTAATTTTGTATGAGATTATTCACAGATAATTGTTAAAAAGAAAGTTTTTTTGGTGTTATTTTGGCCGGAATAAAAGTAGTTTTTTTTTAAGCATTTTAAGTTTTTTAAGCCCCCTTAAGCAATTTTTTCCCATTTTTAACCATTATACAAACCATTAATCAATGACTTGCCTAATGACTCTAACTTGCCTAATGTACCTAATTTATCTAGTTAAGCCTTTAATGTCACTTTTTGTAAGTTGTTTACATTAAGACTTTTTATTAAAAAAACTAAACAAATGTTACACACATTCTGTTTGCTATGGAATGCAAAAACGTTGAAGCTCAATATCTCAAAATCATTCAGAACACAGATAGAACCTTATAACTCCAAGGTGACGATGTATAATATGTAAATACAAGCTTTTATTTTGTATGAGATTATTCACAATCACAAATGTTAAAAAGAACCACTATTAAGTTCTAGGTAACACTTTATTTTGATGGTCCAGTTGAGTATTAGTAGACTATCTGCTTAATATCTGTTGATACTGCTCCTTCAACAGACATTTAACTGACTTTAAGAAACTTTGCAAGTACATGTCAACTTACACTAACCCTAAAGCAGGTCGCACACCAGAAGCGTCGCTTGGCGGCACGCCGCGCAGCGCCATATATTTTAGAATTCTAAACATAGGTTTCTATCAGGATACACACACCGGCGCTGCAAGTCGGCGGCACCCGGCGACGGCTCAGGACGCAGTTAATTTTTCAGCCGCGCCACAGAGCGCCATCTGATTAGTTTCATGTCAAATATCATTCGAATGTGCGCGTCTGGTGTGTGATACTTTAAACTGTCATGTACGCGCCGTGTCGCGGCGCTTCTGGTGTGCGACCTGCTTAACCCCAACCTAACAGTCTACTCTTAGGGCCTACTCACACTATGCCATCCGTACCGTGCCCAGGCCCGTTTCCCGGATCGTTTGAGAAGTGTGAGTGTGCTTAATCGGGCTCAAGCACGGTTCACTTGGCCGGCCCTGGCCTTGTTGGAAGAGGTGTGCCTGAGCCCGATTCACTTGGGCTTTGGTGTGGTACGCTTGTGTGTGAGTGCAAAACGCGCCAAAGCCCGAAACTGAAAGCGAGACGTGACTTTTAAGGGGCTGTTTCATATGGATTTATTAATCAATCTTACTGTTCAGTGAACGCAAACTGCCGTAGTTTATTAAAGACGAGAACTCCTCACTGCACGACAACAGAGCGCCTTCAGCAGACCTCCTCATTCCTGCAGCACGAGAGCTTTATGATTGTTTATGAGCGCCAAAAGTGGCGGATCTGTTCGGCGAAATATCTGACTGCGTGTGCCCGCATCCCTAAGGACTGTTTGGCGAAATATTTGACGGCATTTCAAACGACTGAAACGATATAACTAGAGAAATCTCCACTGTGCCGCTGAGTGGCAGCGCTTCTCACTGAACAGCGCAGCAGCGATGACGTAAGCGTGCCAAAGCCCGTTTGTGCTGTGAGCGCGGGCCATCGGGGGAGACGGGAGAGGGGACAAGTGTGCTTTGGCCCAGTTCGAGGCAACTGTACCTAGTGTGAGTACGGCCTTAATATAATGAGAATTAGTTGGCATGTAGATGCAATGTAATTTAAATTAACAAACAGACCACCAAAATAAAGTGTGATCTAGTTCTGTACTGTGGATAAAATACTGCGAGATGATGCCAGTGCATGAAGAGACTTGGTGTCTCTGACTAGCGTCTCAAACATTTTTATATTTTCAAGAAAATGACGAATCATTTCATTAGTTAAGTCCCTCATTTCTCGACTGAGATCAAGAATGTTTTCTTGATTATGTCAAAGTTAGTACGAAATCAAAGTCTGCAATGTTTATTTTGCTTGCACACATTGTTATTCTTTAGGTGAACAATTAATCCGTCCGAGTTAATCCACTGGGAAAAAAGCTTGTTTTGGTAATCTTCAACCAAATTCAGACTGTGCCGGTTCTTCTGTTGATGTCAGTTTGACGCTTTGAACACAATATTTTTAACCACACCCCTTTTTATTGTTGATTTTCTACAAGGGAATTATAGACAAAAGAAAACCCCGTCCATACTCAACAATAAGCTTTCATTGGAAGTACATCAACATACTGAAATAAAAGATTCTGAAAAGCAACCTCTGATTCACTCAGACTTTAAAATGCGGCTTTAAAATAATTGGTGTTATTACAAATGCTGTATAACTAAACTTGAATTTAAACTGAACTGAATATACTGACCCGAGCGCTGGAAGGTCATCAGGCTGGCACAGGGACAGCAGGTGCAGGAGAGCGCGGCACAGCTGTGAGCGTAAGCTGGCACAGTATCGGTATTCCAGGAAGTCCTCGGTTTCCTCGCTGTGTTCCAGAGCCTGAGCTAAGGATCTCCACACCTCTGAGAACTGCTGAGAGTCTCCGTAACACTCTCGTGTCGCGGGAACAGAAAGAGCAGCTGCAGATTTGATGCGCACCTTGAAGTTCTTGCAGGAAGTTACTACACAGGACAGGGCAGAGAAAGCCTCCGTAGACCACACAGCAGAACCTGAGAGTGAAGAAAGACGTATTACAGACACCAACAGCTTCTTTTTGTTTTTTTTTACATAAATAACTCTTACACAAACACACACAAGAACAAACGAATAAAGTCATAATTATTAGCCCTCTTGTGAGTTTTTTTTCTTTTTCAAATATTTCACAATGATGTTTAAAAGAGCAAGGAATTTAACACAGTATTTCCTATAATATTTTTTCTTCGAGTGAAAGTTTTTTTGGTGTTATTTTGGCTGGAATAAAAGCAGTTTTTTTTTAAGCATTTGAAGTTTTTTTAAGCCCCCTCAAGCAATTTTTTCCCATTTTTTAACCATTATACAAACCATTATACAATGACTTGCCTAATTACTCTAACTTGCCTAATGTACCTAATTTATCTAGTTAAGCCTTTAATCTCACTTTAAGCTAAATATTAATATCTTAAAAAATATCTAGTCAAATATTATTTATTGTCATCATGACAAAGATAAAAGAAATTAGTTATTAATTATTATTATCTGTTTAATCCGTTAAACAGAAACCTGTAAAAAATATACAGGTGGTCTAATAATTCTGACTTCAACTGTAAATACACACACACACACAAACATATTAAACAATTAACTGAACTGAACTTTAACAGTGACATTTACACTAAACTGAACTGAAACAGTTTCAATTTACTAGAGCTACACCAGAATTCTACCACTACCCTCCTGACTTGCTGAAATGTTCTACAATTTGAAATGCTATAGCTGTTCCTCTCTTTTCTTCATCTATGTTAAGCTGCTGTATGCAACAAACATTCTGCATGATAAAAAGCACTAAAGAAATAAAGATAAATTAAATTTAAAAATGTAACTCAAAACCCCAAAAAAACTTTGTTGGCAAAATTCTAAACAGCAATAAGACTCTAAACAACACTTCTATTCAGGTTTAGTTTTTATAACTTAACTTGGTGAATGCTAACACAGAAGAGTACAATCAATGCAGATTCATAACATATCCAATATGTTATGTTGCCAAATATTACAATGATAGAAAAAAAATTATAAATAATAAACTGAATTGAATAATAAAATTATTATTATTAGATTTTGGTCCATATTGTCATGTTAGCATCATGCAGCTGCTGCAGATTTGTTGGCTGCACATCCATGATATGAATCTCCTGTTCCACCACATCCAAAAGGTGCTCTAATTGGATTGAGATCTACTGCTATATTTATAAATAAATAAATAAATAAATAAATAAATAAATAAATAAATATATCTTGTATTTTTATACAAGTTTTATTTAATAATATTTAGATATAAATATTTTTTAAAACTCTGAAAACACAGAAAAAAGCTTCAAAAACATTTGAAATAAATGATAAAATTGTATTAATTTATCATCAGCTTAATGACATTTTCCTTTTAACAATAAGGAGAGTATTCATCTTAATAATTCATTTATTCATTTTCCTTCAGCTCAGTCCCTTTATTTATCAGAGGTCGCCACAATATAATGAACCACCGACTTATCCAGCATATGTTTTACGCAGCGGATGCCCTTCAAGCTGCAACCCGATACCCATTTTATTCAATTTCACCTATAGCGCATGTCTTTGGACTGTGGGGAAAAACAAAGCACCCGGAAAAACCCACACCAACACAGGGAGAACATGCAAACTCCACACAGAAATGCTAACTGACCCAGCCGGAACTCAAACCAGTAACCTTCTTGCTGTGAGGCAACAGTGCTAACCACTAGGCCACTGTATCGCCATATCTTAATAATCATTAGAAGACTTTTTTGTTAACAAATAACATTGTCATTGCAGACATTAGAGTGCTTCCTATGACATCATTTCCTCTTTAGTTTTTTTGTTTTCTGCAAGTTGGCTGCAAATAACAAATTGGGTGAACAAGCATTTTTCAGGTATTAATAAGCATTTATAATATAATCATTTTTTTTTTTATATACAAAACACACAACACCATGTTAGATTACTAAAATAAGTCAGAATTCATTTTTGAAATCCCCCAAATTAGAAATCACTTCCTCATTGCTTTGAGGTATTATTCATGTGATCATAACTCAAAAAATATTGGTAAAAAATAGTACTAATGATTCCTGCCCTAAATCAAACACCACTAATCATGCTAAATTTACATTTTTCACTAATCATGGTTAGCACCTTTGGAGCACTCACTCACCCAGAGGCAGGTGCTGGTTTCTGAAGGCATTGCCCAATGCGTAGCAGGCATTCCAGCGCACTTTCATGGTGGCGTCTCCTCTGACTGTGTCTATCAGAGCCCTCATGGCCTCCAGCAGAGGCTGCTCAAACACTGGTTTTCCCAGGTGGCCCGGCTGCAGGAAGTGAAGCAGATTCCCCAGCGCCCGCACAGCATTGCTCTTCACCTGCGGCACAAAAAAAACCCACCATCATCATCACTCACAGCATAAGGACATGTTTTCAAAGGGCTTTTTGTTTCAGCTCTAGATGAAGGTGCATCTGTATTCAAAGTCTTACTGATAAGCAGATTGATTTGAATGTTGTTGCTGATAACGCCAGAGCTGAATCAATGAATATGCATATTTATGTGTTTGTTATTGATTATTACTTTTCAGTGAACAAATAAATTTTTTTATGCGTAAACAAAGTGTTGAATAGTTGTTGTTTTTTTTTTCCCAGAAAGAAATTAAAAGTTCTTGTATATTGTATAATCTTCAAAATCTTTTATAATCTGTGTTTACAGATATTTAAAGGGTCACTAAACACCAAAACACATTTTTTTTGAGCTGTTGACAGTCTTATATGTGTCCCACACTGCTAAAAACACCATTAGGACACCTATATTTCACTAAAAAGTGTAAATTGGTTGTTTTTGCGTTATTTCCAGCAAATTCGTACTTCCGGTTTGAAACAAATTTTTGAAGCTGCGTCACGGTCATGACATAATAGCGTGTATTCCAGCGTGCAGACTGGACGTCTGTGTCAGAGTGTGTCTTATTACGTTTTACAGTGTGATGCATTAATGCATGAGTAAGGCTTGGTTTAAACCAATCAGAGCGCTCTATTGTGCAACAGAGACGCCACGTTGTGTTGGCAAAACAAGCGTGAAATGTTGCTTTTATAGTTTGCTGCAGTTAAGTTTTGTTTTCTTTTTCTCTCTGTGAGTGCTCAGCTGGACTCACGTGTGGATTAACAGTGTACGCGACGCTCGACAACAATAACTTACGTGTCTAAGGAGGATTATTGTTTACCTGAGAGCTGTTCTCATCTGCAAATGCTGAGATCCGGATTCGCTTGTAGTCTTCTCTTAATAAAGACGCGGCTCTAGTTGCTGGTGATTGCCCTGTCTCTATAGATCTGGTAAGTGAGCGACCAGTGCTCTTTGTTTATTCAGTTTGTTCGTATCAAACTAAGTTAACTATTGCACAGAGTGTAAACATGTTAGCACTACAACCAAACTTTAACCTCGTGTAGGATTTTCACCGCATTTTGTGACCGGAATAACACACGCGGCTTTCTGACACTACCTGCTGTGTGCATCTAAGTTTCCGGGAAAAGCTGAGTTTTTTTTTTCTCTCATTCGCCGTGCGGTATCAAACATCGAGCAGTTCCTCGAATCAAATATCTCGTTTGTCGCAAGGGACATGAATGAATTCCCTGAATGAAAGAGCCAAACTGCAGTTAAAGTCCACCATTTAATAATTTGGCAAATAATTCGACTACAGATGTCCATGTAAACACAGTCACTTTGTCCCCTGTGTGTGTGTGTGTGTGTGTGTGTTTTGACTCTGAAAGTCAGCGTGCCCAAACAGACACTCCCACACCATGCCTCTTTTCTTCCTCCGACACTCCCCCCTAAACAAAGCTGGACACGCCCACTTTTCTGACTTTTTCCAAAGTAGAGGTATGAAAACACCCTGCTGAAACGAGGGGGTTTTATGGCCCTTTAAGAAACATGCTAAGAACATACCCGTTTATCTAAAAAACAATGATAAATTCAGTTATTCTCTTTTGAAAATTCATTTTTTATGTTCCTGAATGTCTGTCTTTGCTTTGGTCTCTATAACCAGCCCACTGCAATTTTACCCAATTATATTTCGGAACCTCAAGTTACCTTGGTAGGAAACAGTGAATTTCTTTTCAGTCAAGCTGCCTCAATGTATGTGAGCACGACTAATGCTGTGTTCACACTAGCTATACCTATTACGCTATTTGTGCGTAAATTGCCGCGTTAACATTTGAGGTTACTCGCTTCATTCGCGCGTCAAACCCCGCTTCATTCGCGCATCAAATCCGCTTCATTCACGTGTCAAGATAACTTCAGAACAGACGCGGATTCATTCGTGATGGGCAGGGCTTCTGTCTGCCCGGTGACTGTAGCTTCGTTGCTAAAAGGCTAACATGGATTTTATGAAGAAAATAACTGTGTTTATGTGCTTTATGGAGGCTGAAAAACAGCGTCGATACGTTTAGGACCGTGTCTGAGTCCACTACATGCTTTCAGTGGTGCATCCAGCTCTGTGAGTTTATAAACTCCTCCAGAAACTGAACCTGGATCACGGAGGCTTTCAACGGTGCTTCTGACTGAGCAGAGTCCAGTTTGATGACTTGTTGTCGGTGTCGCCTGAAGGATTTCCCCTGGTGACACCATCAACAGGTTCTACGTCACAATCACACCCCCACAAGAGCAAGCTTCTGATTGGTTAACGCAGCGCGAATGTCCGCTGAAGTTCAGATTTTCGAACTCGAGAGATCTGCGCAAAACGCTCGTTAAGCGCATCAAACGCGCAAAACGCTCAATTCGCCCCGCTCCATTAGCACAATTTGCGTCATTTGCGCCGCGCCATTTGCACATATCGCACCGTAGGATGTCTATTCATGCGTTTGCACTGACTTAACATGTAAATCACTCGCGCTTGACGCGCAATCCGTGTCTGGTGTGAACGCAGCAACCTCTGATGGACAGCAACAGGCTCCAAAATGAGGCAGATTCAGAGTTTTGGAAAAAATACTCTCCAATATTTTGAATTTGGACTGCAATACATAGTTTAACCACTAGGTTAATACTACATACTGAACCTTTAATAATTAGGCCATGTCCACATGTATTTTATTAACAACTTTTACCTTACCTTCCATTAAGAAAGTCCTGTCAACAAAAAAACGCAAAAACGCATGGTGATGCATGTTAAGGGCAAGACGAACCAACAAGTGGAAATAAAAGCCTTTTATGATGGGTTCACACCATATACAGAATTGAGTACTTGTGGGAGTACACTGCATACAAGTCAACAGAAATGTAAAAACAGAGACAGATTAATGTCCCAGGGTATGAGCAACACACAATACAAGACACGTTTGTCACAAATATGCAGACTTTCACATCTTCCACATAGGGATGAATATAGTAAAGGCCCCATCTGACTGGTCAGATTTGGAGAAATAACCTTTGCATGACAGATCAAATTTATTGCATGATATGGATATTGCATATACTATTTTCAACAATATTTTTTTTATATATCATGCAGCCCTAACTAATCGCATGTTAAAGAAATTTTTATATAAAAAATAAAAAAAAGTGTACCCACCCTGTCTTTATCCGCTGACGCTTTAGTAGCAGATCTGAGCATGTTCAGCAGCAGCATATCAGAGAAATCTTCCTGAAACTCCAAACCTACAGACTGCCTGAAGAACAGAGAGCACAGAACGCTGTCAACACAAACAACAACACAAACACACACACACACACACCTTTTATTAAAGACTTTACCAAGACTTCAAATATTTAAATGATAGTATCTATGACCTACCCCCAAACCCAACTCCCACAGAAACATGTGCCAATCATTAGATACTAGGGTTGTAACAATATGCGATTTTCACAGTATGATAATAGTATCAGAAAACGTTGCGAATTCACAATATTAATTAAACATAACAATAACCATAAAAAGAATAATACGTTTTTCTGAGTGAACTTTATCATTATAGACTTGAACAATTTCATAGAAAGTAATAAGAAAATCTTCCTTCTAAAAAAAAAAAATAACAAAAAAAAAACAAATTTACAAATTAAACTATACATTTCTTATTTAAAAAAACAACAACTTTTATCTATTAAAGGTCCCCTAAAGTGCTTTGAATTGTGCATTTCTTTTCGATGTTCAGCTAAATCTCAACTAAAAAAAAATTTGAGGGTGGGACATAGAATAGCCCATCCCCTTTTAGAAAAACAGCCAATAGTGTTGTTTTAATTACAGCTTTGCCAGTGAGAGTTGTTGAGATCAAGTGCATCAAATGATAAGCTAATAAAAGCGTCTTGAAGGGGGTTGTCAAACGAGAAGCGTCTTGAAGGGGGTTGTCAAAAGAGAAGCATCTTGAAGCATCTTGTTTGAAACTAGATGTTCAAAATTTAATAACACACTGATGTATGAGGTGATTGAAAGTAGGTGGACGTGAAACTGCAAGCTTCAGACGTTTAAATCAGTTTTATATTTCCTAGATGCAAATTATGTCACTGTTTTAGAGCACACTAGCTATTAGATATCCTTAAAAATTACATCTAAAAAATATTTTATTAGAATTTCATGGGACCTTTAAGCAGACAAGAATAAATAATGTATAATATATAATTAATGGGGCAAAGAGTGGCTATTTTAGGAATTAAGGAATTGGCCCACTAAATATTCCTTTAGTATCTTTATGGATTCTGTGCTTAATGACACATTAAATGTTTTCATATTCCACTACATAAGTGACGACAAGAGTCCTTACAAGTATAGCTAAACCAGTACACACACATACATACACAGATAAATCTCTCACATGTTGACGATGAGTGTGTCCGTGAGGTTTCCCAGAGACCAGGCTGCTTTTGCCCGGACGTTGGGTGAACGGTCATCCAGAGCGGTGAGGATAGCATTAGCAGTATCCGCCACAAACATCACATCCTGTGCACATCAAAACACCACAGTCAAATAAGTCAAGTTAATTTGTCATTATGTTTGCTTAATTGTTTTCATATAAACATAACAAAAACAGGCAATCACAAACTAACGTAAACAACTTTATGGGCACTTTTATGGCTGTCCCTTTCTAATTTACCTGGAAAAAACACACATCCTGTTTTCATGATAACAAAGTGAAGTCACCATACTGAAAAATTACTCCAGTTAAACGAATTCAAACAGGTTACAATATTTGTATACATCTATTCAACATCATACATGTACTATGACCATGTATAGACAATTTAAATGTACTTACAATATAAAGTATACACACTTTTCTCCTATTCAAAAATATTTAAATCAATGGAGAATAATTTTCCAGTTTGATGGCTGTTGATTTACTTGAAGTATTTTTATTAAGCTAAAAGAATTATTATTATTTTAATAGATTATTTATTAAAAAAACAGTTAAGTAAAAATAATTACATTTATTAAATATAAATACAGTGAGCACATCACTTTTTAAAAATGAAAATTTTTATCCATTTCTCAGTGAATATATGTAAGAAAATGTTGCGCTTTTGAACAACATCGATTTATTAAAATAGTATTTTAGTCACCATACAGCTTTAGAAATAGAAAGATAATACATCTAAATCCATGTAAAACATTGCAAACTAAATTACAAACAACAAAATTGGATTTATTTTTGTTTCTCTAAATTTTTCAATATTTGTCTCTAACATATACATGTGGGCTATTCGTTTTTGGACCGTAAGCTTTCGATTGGGACCTTATGTATAGGCACGAATATGATATTATAAATTATCCTACAGAAAACATTCATTTAAATGAGAAATTTGCAAGGGGTGTACTCATATATGCTGAGTAGGGGTGTAACGATTTATCGTTGTATGATTTATTGCGATGCAAAAATGTCACAATATGCATCGTGGCGTTATGACGATTTGATTACGATATGAAGTCCGTTTTCTCTTATTAGTTGAGCTGTTTGCACGTGAGCTACGTTCCACCTGCTGTCGCACGTGAGTTCAGATTGCAGCAGCAATAATGTTAGCAGACCAAGATGAGTGGAGCTGAAATAGAGGATGGCCCATCCTCTCAAAATCAGACGTCTGGCAAGATTTCGGTTGTACAGTCATTGCTTTAGACTCGTCTGCTTTTTGACACGCATACTGGGTCAAACATCCTAAGTTTTAAAGTCTTCACAGTGATTTACATACTTTGCACAGCGACAGGGATACCTCCTAATGGTGTTGAAAGAGTCACATACTGTATTTATAAGGTACAATTCACCCTAAATTATCATTCTGTCTTCATATAATGTTCCCGCCGCAAAATCACACATGACGTGAGCTGACCGTGAGCTGTTACTACAGAGGGCGGACTGATAGACGCGCGCGTATGGCAAGCCGTTTTAGCATTTAAACCTTTGTTCTGACTATCCATTAATATATTTAGAGATATCTCTAATTATATTTTGACTAGTCATAATTATAATTCGACTAGTCAGAATGACAATTAGAGATATCTGCAATTACAATTGTACTAGTACGAAATCAGATTGGAGATATCTGCAAATATATTATGACTAGTCATATTCCTCCATTGACTTCCATTGTTTTGACTAGTCACAATTGTAATTAGAGATATCTCTAAATTAATTTAATTAAATATGAATTAAATACCTGGAAATGTAGATTTTTTTTTGCACACAAAAAACGCAAGTGACCAAGCAAAGCATTAGCTCTTACTGATAAATTCAATTGAATAGAAAGCTTTTTTTTTTTTGCACCTTTACTTAAATTGTTCCTTAATTTTGTCTCTGTCATTTCAATAATATTTTTAAGAAGTTTTTTAATTGTTTTATTTTCCAAAGACAGGCCTGTTTAATTTATTTTCAGGTTCAGTTTAACAAGTTAAAACAGAAGAAATACAAAAAAAATAGTTTACTTGGTATTATATCGTGATACACATCGTATCGTGAGCTGAGTGTATCGTTACACCCCTAATGCTGAGCACTGTAGTTATGAATAAATTATAAATTTCTCATTTATAATTAAATGAGAAAACTGATATACAAACTTACGCTAAATACACAAATTAAGTATGATTTTTTTTAAAAGAAATAAAATGACCTAAAAATAACAAACACATTAAATACATTAAACAGATGAATTAATGTGAGGCTTCATTATGAGAAAACATAATTCAAAATATAATTAACAAACTTACATTTAAATGACAATGTAAATAAATAAAATGCTTTTTTTCATTATAGGAAGTAAAATAATGAACATACATTAAAGTAAATTATGGATGAATTCATAAATAAAATAAATGCATAAAAAATTTGTATGACAAAGAAAACTACATTAAGTGAAATTAATACTCTGGATGAATACTTTATTAAATGTGGAGCTCTTTCATTATGAATAAATTTTTGTAGTTACAATTCCAAACTATTAGTCATTATACAGGTATACATTTGGGTGGATGGATCTTTAACTATCAGAAAGGGCAGAGCTGTGTACCTCTCTCAGGCAGGGGAATAGTATATAGACCCCCAGAGCTCTGACTGCTGCTGCCTTCACCAGAGAGTTCTCACTGTACGTCAGTCCCAGCAGGATCGTGATGCACAGCACTTGAGTCTTATCCTGCACAAATCCATATTGATGAATATGAATACCACAATAACAATTAATAACTCAACACTGCATTACACAGGCACTCACGGGCAGCTGACTGAAGGCCTGTGGCAGGATGGAGGAGAGGGTGTCGCACGCGCTGGTCTGAAGGGTCGGATGATGTTCATTCTGTAAGGCACTGATGAGTGGACCACCTAAAACCTCTGACCAGAACTGAACCACCTGAAAACAACAGCTTTACATCAACACCAAAATCTCTCAATTCAGTTTTGTATGTTCAGTGTTGGATAAAGTTGTCCCAAATGCATTTATATTATGCGTTTGCTTATGCAGGTTTCATTCTAAAATTTATTTCACTCTTGTATTCTTTGACTGACCACATTTGGGGTTTGTAAAATAAAATGGGGGCTCGTCCGGGATAGTTTCCCAAAATATTTAAAAATGAAACCATAAACATATCCACATACTTATCTTGGGTGTTGAGCGGTGAGTTGTTATATTATTTCAGGCATTATGGTTTGTTTTACAAGCCTTTATTCTATTTATTTTTAATAAAAAATAAAAAATAAAACTATATCCATTAACTGCCATTATAAGAATCACTATGGACAAAAGACTCCGTTAAAAGTCTTCTTTAATCTTCTACTAAAGAAAAAAAGGAACTTGCATCTTCGATGACGTAAGTAAATTAATAGGAAATCTTTATTTTTGGGTAAAAAATCCCTTTAAGACTGTAATATATAACTGTAATAGGGTTAAATGGCTTTCTAGCCATTGGATAGAAGAACTGTCAAACGTTTAAAGGGCACATAGTTTACCCCTTTTTTATGATTAAATATTAATATTATGGTTCTTCTGAGTGTGCCAGTTTAGGTTCAGTTAATAAAAACAATTCAGATTTTTTTATTATTGTTAAAAAGTGTTATTTTGGGGGTGTGTACACAGCTTGCTGTTTTAGGGATGTGTTACTTCACATGAAAATTAGTTTCAAATTCCCGCCCAATGTAACAAGGGGGCGGAGCCAAGAGCTCCCCCGCTTTGTGTTTGGCCACAGACAGGCAGACAGAGAGAAGCAACATGAGTGAGAGGACCAGCATTCAGCCATACATGTACGACTCGGACACAGACCAAGCAGAGAGTACACAACCATTTGAGTCTTTGTTTAGTTTTACAGCCAACTGTGTGCTAGTTTAAAGTTCCGAGCTTGAACACCGAGACTAATAACCACGCACACTGAATTAACTTTGACTGAGGCACCGGATGACCCGCTTAGAGCTGCGACACGGCACACCAGACACGCACATTCGAATGTCATTTAAAATGAAACTATTTAGATGGAGCTCTGTGGCGCGGCAGAAATATGAAGTGTCCCGAATCGTGGCTGGGCTCCACAGACAGCCGCCGACTTGAAGCACTGTTGTGTGTACCCTGATAGAAACCTATGTTTAGAATTCTAAAATGCATGGCTCTGTGTGGTGCGACGCTTCTGGTGTGCGACCTGCAGGCAAGTTTGTTATTTTATTTCCAATGGAGCGACACTCACGAGGCAACATGCTCGCACTTTCCAGCTGCACCTGGTTCAGATCACACTCACAGGGAGCCTTCTGTGACTGCGAGAAATGCAAACGGCTGAAATTTAAGGTAGACGCAATGAAAAGTACACTAGTTTGCAAACCTACCTACAAACAGACTATGTTACAAACAATAATTCCGATTAGAGCGATCATGTGGTGAATGTTGATCTTGTGTTGAGCCCAATAAGCCTTGCATCTAAAAATAGAGCAAGGATGTTGCTTTAGTGACATCGCTTTGACTCACACGCTGAAAATAGCGGACGTGAAACAATAAACAAAGGATATGGTGATGCGTGCCTGTTAATCAATATTCGTGGGCGGGGGAACCGCACTCTTACGTCAAGTTGCGGTTGATCTAAAAACCGCTCCAATTGGTCCACCGTTTTTATGTTGTTAAATTGAAAAAAAAAAGGACTGGGTGCGTTTACAACACCCCAGCATGACTGTCTATACACTATAATTACACACATGTCTGTCCAAACAGCTTGAAAAGTAGATTTTTTACCATAGGTGCCCTTTAACAAAAGTAATAACAAAATAAACAAAAACATAAGCGGCTGCCTGACACACACACTAACACAGGGGTCGGCAACCCACGGCTCTAGAGCCGCATGCGGCTCTTTAGCGCTGCCCTAGTGGCTCCCTGGAACTTTTTCAAAAAATGTTTGAAAATGGAAAACGATGAGGGAGGTAAATATATTTTTTGTTTTAATATGGTTTCTATAGGAGGACAAACAATTTTAACGTTTTCCAATGCTGTAAAAGTGTGTAGAATATTTAATTTCAACATTTCTGTCAACGAAGATTTGCGTCATAGCCTGCGACACACGTTTCTATCAGCAGGGCGGGATGCCAGGTAGGTAGCTGTTGTAAACAAACCGGCGGCTGTGTGATGCGCCATGGAGCGCAAGCTGTCTTTGCCAAAGATGTACAGCGGGGCACGCTTTCTCATTTTCCCTCCCTGAGAGAATTCAAAGAAGCCCATCCCGATCACTCACTCAACGATGATTATTTTACAAGGTGCGATCGTTGATATGCAAACTGCATTTAGGAGCAGATTTTGCGAGTTGCGAAAGGAAAAAACGAGACTGTCTTTCCTTGACACACACCCCTGGAGATTGACCCTTCCTTGTTGAACACATTCCCAGGAATGACTCGAGCTGATCTTGAAATGGAAATGGCAGGCTGCGTTTTATTGCACTGTTTGTTGCCCAGATAAGGGGCACGTTGTGCACGTTCATTTTGATGTTTTTTTGAATCCTCAAAATAAAAAAAAAACATTAAAAAATCTGATTTCTTTATTGCATTTCTTTAATTTCATCAAAGCAAAACATAATGCAATAATATTGTAATGAAGTTAAACTTGAACATTAAACATAATTCATTAATATTGTAATGAAGTTAAACTTGATCATTAAACATAATTCATTAATATTGTAATGAAGTTAAACTTGATCATTAAACATAATTCATTAATATTGTAATGAAGTTAAACTTGATCATTAAACATATTTCATTAATATTGTAATGAAGTTAAACTTGATAATTAAACATAATGCATTAATATTGTAATGAAGTTAAACTTGATAATTAAACATAATGCATTAATATTGGATTGAAGTTAATTTTGAATATTAAACATAATTCATTAATATACTGTAATTAAGTTAAACTTGAGACGGCATCGTACAACAGAGTAGTCACGTGGCGCGTCATTCTCTACAGGATGCACTGCAGGGAAATGAACATTTAACCATGAAGGCTCAGTATGTATTTGTAGCCAACGAAGTCATTTTTATAGTATGCTAATATAGCTAATATAAATACATACAGCATGTGTTGCCATCATTATAAGGCTTATATAAAGCTTTTAATTTTTTGCGGCTCCAGACATATTTGTTTTTGTTTTTTTTGGTCCAATATGGCTCTTTCAACATTTTGGGTTGCCGACCCCTGCACTAACACAACAAGCACCAGGACCGGCTCTCTCTCACCTTCTTTTGTCATTCCTCTTGTAACTTCACACTCGTCCAGGAGTTGCAAAAATTATCCTTGGCCATGCCCCATCTCGTGACAATTACTTTAAAATATCTTTACCCAACACTTTTACATACACTATATTTGTTTGTTTTTACCTGGTTCACTGGCACACGTTTGGCACTTTGTGGAGTGTTGGCATCTGCTCTGTACTGCTGGATAATCCCAGTTCCCAGTTCTTCTAAAAGCTTGAGAGAAATATGCACACATGTTAAAATAAACCAAGAAAGGGATTGCTCATCCAAAATGAAAATTTCCTCACCATTTACTCACACTCAGATGCATTTAACAATCACATTGTAACCTTTATGAGGTTCTTTTACAAAACAAGACATTCTAAAGAACATTGTGAAAAAGCAGCCACTGACAATGTTTGTGATGTGAATTAGACTTCTGTGCAAAACTGCAATAACAAAAAAAAATGTTAAAACAAAGAACAAAATCGTCACTTTCTGGTAAACTGGTTCCAAATATCAAACAGAAAAATGTCATTTGCAGTGGTAGAAACAGACACCGTGAGCCCTTTTTCTAATATAATTATTCACTTGCACCTCAGAAGATGAAGATAAAATGCATACATACTGGTACAGTATGAATGTGATTGTCTAGCTTGTCTGCACTTGTATTAGCATAAAGCGATCTGATTGGTTAACACTTGGGCTGGTGCTTGAAAAGCTGAAAGATTTTCAACTTCTGCAGCGAGCAATTAAGCAAAAACGATTCTACGTGCCTACAATTCAGTTTGGCAATGCTGGACGTCACTCCATTGGAAGTAAATGTCAACACTGATCCCTATTGTGAATTGTGGTAAAGCGACTACTCTTCTGTTTTGGTGGGTAACCAAAGCGCCAACCAAGCGCTCTTGCACAGTGCAGACATTAAAATTTCATAGCGTATCGCTTTCCGCATCTGGTCTGAAATCTGATTGATATATATATATATATATATACATATATATATACATATATATATTTATATATATATATATATTTATATTAGAGCTGTGAACCTACACTAGTCTCACGGTTCGGTTACGATTATCATGCCATCGATTCGGTTCAATTTGATATTTCGGTGCATCACGGAGCATTGACGGTGCTTTTCATACACAGTTTTATATTTTCTTCACAGCAGCATTTCTTGTATTAAAATGTATGAATATATTTATATTTATATACTATTTGTAAAACAATTTTGTCATTTAATACAAACAGTCAGATATATAAACTGTAACTTTAAACAAAACGAGCATTTAGCAAATAATATAAACAAATCTAAACATCCAGCTCAATTTCTGATCCTTGTCTAGTTCTCTTACACCCCTTTGATTGGTCACACCCTCAAAAAGAAACGGTTGCGATTGGCTCTTGCGCGCTGCGTTCTTCACAGATGAGTGACACTGATAAGCGGCCGGCGGCAGCGGCGATCTCACAGCTGATGTATGATAGACACGGTGGAGAAAAATCTGCAGATACGCGCTCGTTTCTGTATGCAAAAGTAACGTTGTAAAACAGCCGAGAGGAGAAGAAAAGCCACCCCAGCAGGTCAAATGGGCCACTGTGTGTGTGAGAAAGAGAGAGAGAGACAGAGCGAGAGCGAGAGAGAGAGAGAGAGAGAGAAATGGAGTAGGCTACTTTCATTCTCTCGATTTCAGTGAAATAGGGGCTATTGTTGTATATGTCAGTGAAAGACTGATCCAGCAAACACACACAGTGAAATTGTGCACAGTTTATGAGTTTTAAGAAGTTAAAGCGCTGTAAATACTCGCGATCGCCTCCCTCGCGACAGAGCGCATATGAGGTAAATGCCGTCAGTAATAACCAGTTATGATTATTACTGAACCCGAACTTTCCGCGTCTGCATCGAAGTGCACCGAAGAAACGATTAATTTTGACACCCCTAATATATATATATATATATATATATATATATATATATATATATATATATATATATGCATTAGTCCACAGCTAATAATAAATACTGCAATATTCAATCACAAAAAATTATCTTCAGTTTTAATATCATGTTAACTTTAAAGTTAAGGAATAAGAACAAGCAATGATAATAGTGTTGTTTGCTTGGCAAGCACCTATAAAGAGCATGTGAAAGACATTAAAGGTGAGGTACTTTAGCTCCATGAAGCTGCACAGACGGGTCTTGCTCTGTGAGACAGCGAGCACTGAGTTGCCCTAACTCCAAAAGAGACGCCTGAGCAAATGAGAAGTAGCCCTTCACTAGGTGAGCCAAAACCTGAAATAAACATACAAACATACAACAAAAAACATACAAACAAATAAAACATTTTTTAAGAGAAACAAATTTCAAGTTTACAAACAAATCACTAGAAATGCAAAATTTTAAGACCCCGCGGACACCCTGATATAGCAAATGATGTGATATGACCGGATCCCTCAAGACCACTGACCTGCAGGGCTTCGAGTCGGACGGGTGAGGGTTCGAGCGGTGCTCCGTTAGACCCTCCAGCATCACTGTCAGAGTACGGCTCCTCGCGAGGCTGAGTGACCAGACTCACACACAGCTGAAGGAGCCAGCACGGCCCCTCCGGACCCTCCGCTGCTGCAGGAGAAGAGGCCTCTTCATCTCTCCGTGCAGGCTGTCTCCAGCTAAGAGGAGACTCCTGCGGCGTGCTGATGCCAGAGCCCAGGCTGGACGCGGAGCCGGGCTGCTGGAGGAGAAGCTGGACCTCTGGAAGAGGCGCTTGTGTTGAGACTAATGCACCGAAGAGGGTGAGACTGGACACACGGACATTCACATCTAACATCAGAGGGAAAGAGAAGAGGATGGGAATGTAAGGGTACTTCAGTATGTATATAAACTAAATTCAATACTATGTACAACAATTCAGTACAATGTATATAATAAATAAATAAATATACATACAAACAAAGGCACTTAAATATACAAACACCTACAGTGTACAGAATAAATGTGGACACCCCTCTTTAAAAATTATTATTAGAAGAAACAAACAAATTTTTAGGTGAACTACCCCTTTAATGGGACAACCTCAGTGTCTTGTAACAGTACCTCTGTGTCGGACATATGGACGGATCTGTTTCCACAGTGGGCTCAGTAGGCCTGGTCTGAGACGATTATAGGGCACATTGGAGACTAGGTGGGCAAGGCACTGGAAGACAAAATAAAAGCCACATTCCCGAACTTATCATTTGCAAAATGCCTAGTAAACCATCATACACTGACCAAACCACAGTACGTCCTTCCAGTGAAATATTTTTGTATGGAACTGGTATTTGTTGTAGCAAAATAACCAGTAGTGTAGCTGATCTATGGGAAATGATTCTGGTCATTACATAGTGTTAAAACTGTCAAGTGTTATTCTTATATATTTTTGTATTCGAGTCAATGTTTTATCAGTCTGAATTACTAAAAAAAAATAAACATCACTTGTAAAAAAGATGAATTTCATAGGAGGACTACTAAATTTGTCTTCAACTGTACATGTCAAATTTATTTTTGATTCAAATTTATCTTGTATCATGATGAGCCATAACCTTATATATCAATTAGGATACAATACAAATATATATATATATATATATATATATATATATATATATATATATATATATATATATATATATATATATATATATATATATATATATATATACATACACACACACATATACAGTTGAGGGCAAAATTATTAGCCTTTCTGTGAAATATTTATTATTTTTCAAATCTTTCTCAAGTAATACTTAGGGTGCTTTTACACCAATGAATCGATTAATTTGTTCAGAAACAGGGATTAAAATGGTTACATTGCTGCTCTTTGTTCTTGGTGCCGTTCACTTTCACACGGCAAAGTTTTTAAACAGACCAAAATAGCTAAAACAAGTCACATGCGAGTAAACTCTCCTCATATTGGGCAGAGTTTCACGGTTTATTTTGCGGAGTCCGGCTCAGCTGTCATGAAGTCCTTATTTAGGTGTATGATGATGAGACTAGGGATGTCTGGAATGACCTCCCGCCCTACTCCTAATTCTCTCTTTGTCTTCATATAGCCGTATGCCTATTACATATCATAACACACTGTGATATAACCGGGTTCGGATCGTATCGCTTTCTCACTACAATCGATCCTCTCTAGAGTTCGTTTCAATTGAGCCGAGTCCACCTCATTCAGGCAATCTCGGACCGATTGATTTGGCGCGGATCCAAGTGCGATTGCTGGTTTCAAATATGCAAGAAACGCACTAACTGGGCAAACGAGACAGGTTCTGAAACAAAAGTCTAAATTAAGTTTAAACATTAAGTCACCCTTAATGAAGCATAGACAATTTCACGGTATTTCAGAAAATATTTTTGTTTCTTCTGAAGAAAACATAGGTTTTTTGCCTGAAATAAAAGTTTTTAGAATTAAAAACTATAGTGGATAGTAGAATTAGCCATATAATTAGCTACAGAACAAAGTACTGATATACAAATCGCTTGCCTCGCCATTCGCCACTGGCTTGCATAGTTAGCTGCGCATCGATGGAATAAACTTCAGTGTTTGGACTCTCATCAGTGAATATTAAAACACATTGAACTGAACTAATCTAAACTGAACTTAACTGGACTGTTACTGTTTCAATTCACTATAATCTTCAATGTAAAGCTGCCTTGACACAATTTACATTGTAAAAGCGCTATACAAATAAAGATGAATTGAATTGAATGAATTAACCTAACTTGCCTAGTTAACCTAGTTAAGTCTTTAAATTGCACTATAAGCTGAATACTAGTATTTTGAAAACTTTCAAGTTAAATATTATGTGCTATCTTCTTGGCAAAAAATAAATAAATAAATGAAACATTATTAGAAATTAGTTATTAAAGCTATTATGCAAATGTGTGTACTTTACTACCTTTAAGACCTGTGTGAGGGTCTGGCAGGAGGACTCTGCTATGAGCGCTAGCAGCAGGCCGCGGTGTAGCTCTCTGATGCTAGCAGCTAATGTGGCTGAGAAGGGGGTGAAGGCCTGACGGGGGGCACCAGTGTCTTCAGCGGTGGACAGGAACTGACGTGAGCCTTCCAGAAGAGCAGACAGCACCTGCAGAGAACCTGCCCGCACCTATAGTAGAATATGGGGAAGGTCAGAAGCCCAGTCCATCTTTTTTTTACCAACATCTTTGATGTATTGTGTGAATTTTGGGAGTAGTATTGATGCGCATTACAAAATCAGTTTTACTGGCTATTACATTTCAGCAGCATTTGACAACATCTATATTCTGTATTATTGCTGGTTGAATGAGCATTTTAAAAGACATTTTCTGTGATAAATTGATTTTTACTGGTTATTTGTTGCCACCTGTTGGCGTAACAATGTGATTGTTAATTTGCTTCATAAAAACAGCACTGTAAAAATAAGCCTGTGCTTCCCAGATCTTTTTGATTTATTTATGGTTGCGAATTGTATTATAGGAATTGTATTGATATCTGCTCTGCCAAATTAAAAATGTTGGTGTTGAAAATTCAACTTTGCAGTTCTTTTTTTTTGGACATTTTTAGGCTGTTTTTTTTTTTTTATTTGAAATTAAAAACCAACTGAAACACTGAACGAAAGCGTTTCTTTTTTAATGCATGGGTTCTATTAGCTGTCAGCATTCTCCGGCTCGTTGATTAAATTTTAAAATTAAATTTATTAATACATTTTTAATCAGATAAAAACCCATTTAGATCAAGATCTCATTGACAAAGGTGAACTGGCAAAGAGGTCCGCAATGCACGACCTATGAAAAATAATAATAAAAAAAAAAATTATACAAAAATAAATAATAATAATAATAAATAATAAATAATTAAAAAGTAAAGATATTATAAAAATAGTTTAGTTATTCAGCTATACCACATTACAGTGTTAAAAACTAGTGCTGTCAATCGATTAAATAAATTAACAAATTAATCACACTTTTTTTAAATTAATCGTGATTAATCACATTTAAAAGACTGAAACTTGTAATTTTGGCTATTCAAATATAACATTAATGTAAACGCAAGACAAACAACTATTTACATTCAAAATATAATTGTTCATTAGAATTTTTGTTTAACTTGTAACAAATGTCTTCATGTAAACAACATACCCAACAATAAACCCTCAAGATCCTGGCTTGACAGCCATATTACAGAAATAAAAACACAGGAATGTTAATGCCACCTGAATTTCAAAACAATCAATGCCAATAAAGAAAAAATGTATATGTTGGATTATAAGTGGACTGCAAAAAATGCCAAAATTTAGGCATTGCAGATATGGAAAATTATAATAATTATAAGAAAGTATTGAATGCAACCAATTGTACTTTTAAAAATCAAAAAGTTTTATTGCTGTGAGTTCAGAACATTAATTATAAAGTAGAAAAAATTTTGCTTAATCCTCATTTACATTCAGCCAGTTGCTAAGACAGTCCAGTCTGTTGACATTATCTGGGGACAATGTGGCCCTTTTCTTTTGAATGATGTGAGCTGCGAGTGAGAAGCAGAATCACAGAATCAGCACATGAAATTCGGTGCCAAATTTTGTTGCCATTGGTGCTGCGACAAGGACGTAAGAAGCATTAAGGGGTACATCAAAGGCACCCACACAGGTATGCGTTGTGTCACACCAAAGACTAATTCTTACAGGGACTTTGGTCACACCATCTCTGAACATTTAAACAACTTTGAGGGATACGTACGGTGAAATCGGTGTTGTTTAAGTATTTTTTCTTGTCGCTATATGAAACGTGCGCGCACACAGACAGACCAGCCGTTAGATTGCGTTGGACAGACACAGACAGACAGACAGACAGACAGACAGACAGACAGACACACAACACATGATCGTGTTCATCAAATTAGCTTAAACTAAGCGTTCTTAATTTCACAAGGATTCTGACACAGCAACGAGAAACAGAGGCTTAACAAAAGTTGCGTTAAAGGGAGAAACACGTCAAACTTAATCAGGGCCGGAGCAAGCTGAACTGCCGCTCTAGGCAGAGGACGATCATGCAGCCCCCAACCCCAATGTAAAAACAAAAGTGATCAGTTATGAAAATGAAGTGAGGTGTCGCGGACCTCTTTTCCAGCGCACTATGCGCGGATATAACTGAGGACGTGCGGGTGCTGAGGGAGGGAGGTGTCGCGGACACTGCGCTCTCTATTCTGCCGCCCTATGCGCGGATATAACTAAGGACGCGCGGGTGTCGAGGACCTCAATTCTGCCACCCTATGCGCGGATATAACTGAGGACACGCGGGTGCTGATGGAGGTGTCGCTGACGCCGCCCTCTCCATTCTGTCGTCTATGCGCGAATATATTTGAGGACGCGGGTGGTGAGGGAGGTGTCGCGGACATAACTAAGGATGCGGGTGGTAAGGGAGGTGTCGCGGATGCCGCCCTCTCTATACTGCCGCCTAGGTCGCCTCTATGGACGCGCCGGCCCTGAACTTAATGACACATTTGAGGGAATCATCTGAAAGGCAGGAATGCGCTGCCTTTGACAGCTGACAACACCTTCAGAGTTTCACTGACTACATTTACATGAACACCAATACTCCGATTTTATATATGATGAAAACAAAACTCTAATTAAGAGTCTACCATGTAAACAGTGATTTTTGATTACCTTGAAGGACCACCGAGTCACAAAATGCGGAGACTTTTCTTTCCGTTCGGCATGCGGTCAAATTTCATTAAAACAAAAGTCGAAAGATTAAAAACGAAACATACGAAATTAGATGAGACTCTGGAGGAAACGCTTAATAGCCTGGTAATGCGACATTAATCGTTTTATTTTAAACTTTCCTTCTAAAAGAGCTACCTTGGACTTATACATATTTCTTTGCACGTTAAACACACGTCGGCCACAACAGGAAAGTTAGTTTTTGTTATTATTTGTTATTCAACTATTTTGTTATTTTAATATTTCAGTTATTGAGTTTTAGTTCTTATGAAAAGAAGCAAACCACAATTTAAAACAAAGTTGAGTAGGAAAATGTGGATAGGCTATATTTTTTGGTTTTAGTTTTTTTAGTTGTAGTATTATTTTTTGTGTGTGCGTTTTACTTTTGGCGATGGGTCTTTCAGGGCGATGGTGAGAAGAGTGAGAGGAGGAGGACCTCCAATCCCAGGAGCGTCGGGAACAAACGAAGACCAGTAACCATAGAGGATTCGCTTCTCCACACACTTGACCACAGCCAGGAAACACTGAAGTGAACTCTGACGCACACGAGCTTGATACAACCTAGAGAAGACACATGTGA